TTTGTAAATGATAATTATTAATAACTCTCTAACATCTAGTTAGAGTACTAATAATTATATTTCACAGAATTTTATTTTAATTTTATTTGTTCAAAACTAAAAATTTTTAAGAAAACTTTTTATGTAGTAAAAAAAACGAATAATATAATGAATATTAAACATCAACAAACATATATATGAATTATGAATGTACACATTATTCTAAAAAATGAGTTATATGCAGATGATGATAAAATACAAATTTAAGAATCGAGTTTTCAAATATAAAGAGACCACATAAACTTTTTAATATCCACGCAAAGTTTGGGTGCTACTTTTTATATTTAAAGTTTTGTTCTATTATTTTTATTATTTTTTTATATTTTGTGTTTTAATAAAAAAAAATTTATTTTGAATTGTGAAAATGAATGAAAATTCTTAATGAAATAAAATTTCCTAAATACCTCGACATCTAGATAGCATTCAGAAATATATTACTTCATAAAATGTTTTCATACAAATCCTTAGAAATTTAAAATGAGCTTAGGGTTTTTGGTAGGTTTGGTTTAAATTTTAAGAATTTATGCCTCTCTAAAATTCTCCAACATATAAGTAAACTTTCGAAACAAGTTCATTTTTATAATTCTACTAAAAAATAAATTTTTATATTCTTACATATTTTATATATATTTCTTCTTTCTTTAAAATCATTATTATTATTGTTATTGCTATTATTATTATTTTGCATAAATTTAAAGTGTAAGAAAAATAAAATATACCTAACATAAATTAAAGTATGAAAGATTAAATTAAAATGAGCATGGGAATCCAAACAATAAGAAAATTAACAATACATAAAATTAAACTTGCAATTAAATTTAAACAACATAAAAAAATTTGTATAGGTATAATTAAAATTAAACACATGGAAATAAACTTTATTAGGAACAAACTTTAGGCCTTATATTTTAAAATTTTTACTTATTATAAAATTCTAACTAGAATGAACTTTCTGAACTAATTCCATTTTAAACTAAACAGAAATAAGCCAAGAAAAAAAATATTCAATGCAAATAATAGCTCCCATGCCATGACGTTGGACACTTACATGATGTTATGCTACAACCTTACAATAATGGCCCCACACCATGACTATTGATACTTACATGAAAGGCAATAAGGAAAGTCTAAATTCACAACCAAATAGGGAACAAAGCCAAAGTTTAGGCATGTCTAGGGACTACTTCCATTTTTTTTTTTTGTTTTAATTTGTACATGAAACAATAGTGTAAATAAAATGAATTGCATTAACAATAATAATAATAATACTATTTTATGACAAAAAAATTAAATTGCATGAAATTAATTTAAGCGTAATTTAAACATTAAACAAATTATAATGTATAAAATTCCAACTTTAATTAAGAAAAAAATATATAAATAAACATGAACATGTATTATATGAAATATGCATAAAACTTATCAAGAAGAAACACATTTTCTACTTCATGCTTTAAAATTTTCACATATAAAAATAATCTTTTCTAGAACTTTACCCTACCCATGTTATTTTACATTATTCTATGGATTAGACAATACAAGGAATAAGGAAGAAAAGAAAAAAAAAAAAAAACTAACAATGCACAGCCTATTTTAAGCCTGTCCTTTATTATTAATTTGCAAAATTCCATCATCTTTGCGCCTACAGTTTGGTTTGTTAAAAAAGACTCCTTTTTTCCAACTTAAATCCAAGAGGGGAATAGACTAAAAGATGAACTCACATAACTAGAAAAGTACACAAGCTGGGCTTGGAAACCTTTTTTATATAATTTTTTTTTTGTTTTTGTCGCATCTTGGAAAGCTGTTGATGGTAGTTGGTTTCAAAATTTTCTTTTCATTTTTTTTTTGCCACACCTTGGAAAACTATTGAATTCTCCATGCCTTCATGAAACTTTCATTTATCAAAACAAGAATTTGGCAAACCAAAACATGAACAACAAAGGGATAGAAGCTTGTTTCATATACTCTTTTTTTCCATTTCATTTTTTTTTAATTTTTTGTCACACCTTGGAAAGCTATTGAACTTTCCAAGTCTACATGAAACTTTCATTTGTTAAGATAAAAATTTGGCAAACCAAAAGCATGAAACTTCCCTATCCTAACAACCCTAGTAGGTGTAGGCACAAAAATTAATGCTTTTGTTTCTTGTTGCATA